ATGTGTAACCAACCCTAAATCTTTATGGGAGATCATGGCATAAAAAAAGTATGAAATTTTCATATTCTTTTAAATAATTATATTTTTTCCTTTTTTATGATACTGGGGATTGGACCCAAGGGCACTTTACTACTGAGCTACATTCCTACCCCTTCTTATTTTTTGAAACAGGGTCTTGCTAAGTTGCTAAGGCTGTCCTTGAACTTGCAGTCCTTGCCTAAGCCTCCCCACTTGCTATATTGCAGGCTTGCACCACTACACCTAGCATATTTTTAACTTTTGATAGAGGAGCAACTACAAATTTTCCATAGTGCCTTTCGTATCCTTTTCTAACCTTGCCCATCATTTCTTGCTAACCTTATCATATTTTTTCCAGGCAGCATCTGTACGAAAGTATTTTTAGTCTACAGGAAAATTCGTGTCTGAAAGTGTCTAGTATTGAGAACAGAATAATTTATTGCTTAGCATGCAATTGTACTGTTCTTTTTATGATGCTGATCTTTAAATTGTCCAGTTAGCATCATTATTTAACAAGGAAAGCTAAGAAAATGTGTCTTAGAATTTTTACTTGATGAAATTTGAATATTAGTTGTATGAAGTAATTATAATCTAATTCTGAAAAAATACAAATAAAAATATAAAAAGCAGTTCAAGTAATTTTGACATTTTTGTATTATATATAACAGCATTTTTCCTTGAAAATTTTAATTAAACTACTTTATAATAAATTGCTGAGACTAAAAGTGGTAAACATTAAAAGTGGTAAACTTTCTAAGTAAACATAATAAAAATTCTTGACCTGGGATCCATGAATAGGCTTGAATGTAAAAATCATGTGTGTATCCCCATGTTTTTCTAGGGTCAGAGCCTATGGTTTTATCAGATTATAACGGGATCCTAAGATGTCAAATAGCCAATGTGAACATTTTTTTGTACTGTTGGAAAAACTTAAACTAGTTGTTGGCCTTTGATTATTCTTGCTTAGGCTCCTGAACTTGGATAAGTGTGCATATTGATAGTACTATAGTTTTGTGCATTAGGGACTTTCTGTAATATATTTGAAAGAGATTGTCATTGTTCTTGATATGCTAGAAGTTGCAGAGTTTGCATTGTGAAAAAAAAATTTATGGTATAAATGGGAACTGTTCAGAGATGGAGCATCTCACAACTAAAATATAGTCAACCAATGTCTTTCAAAGAAGCTGTTATTCTGATTACTTTTGTTGAGCAATTTTATTTAATTGTAAAAAAGAATAAAAATAGTAAAAATAATAGGCAATATTTCATAAGTGTTACATGCTGGCATTGTTCTAAGTGCTTTATTTTTATTATCTTCTTCACTTGGCACGGTAACTTCGAGGGAGGAGGTTATTTTCTTCATCTTAAAGATGAAAAACTGAGGCTCAAAGTTTTAAGCAGTTTGCCCAGGGTCACTTACAGAGTGGGTAAATGTGAAGCAAGGATCCCAGATCCCAGTCTGGATCCAGACCTGTTTTCAGCTGGGGCAGTAGATTGGTCAACAGTGGTTGCTTTTAATTATTAGTAAAAAAGTCTCTTTTCCAGTTTCTCCAATGGTCAGAAGTAGTTTTCCCTCAACAAATAAATTTCTAACATTTTAAATTTGATGGTTGTAAAGAGCTATTACAGTTTTTAAAGCAGGTACAATTTATAGTATTAACAATATGGGAATGCAGTGGGGAAGTAGTAAATCTGTGTCTAATTAGATTTAACATCATCATCATTCCTATGCATGACTGCTAGGAGGAATACAATGTGAGTTGAAATAGAAGTGCTCCTTCTTTCTGAAATGTAATTGCACATCTTTTGATAGTCTAGAATTCAAATTGGGTATTACCACACTGGCTCCTTAGCATAAATTCTTTGTATTTATTTAAGAAAGCTCTCTCCGGTGAGGTGATATGGAAATGAATTAAACCACTGAAGATAAAACTTTATCTTTGACTTGGTGAGGGAACTCCTGAAGGATAGTATTAGTGTTTCTCATTAAAAGTGGTAAAGCTCAATTAGGTCAGATTATGAGGACTTTAGAAAGTCAAATATTCGAAGAGAGACTTCAGTTATTACTATGCACTTTGTAGCAGTAAAATTGCATTTGAACATTTAACATTTTTATAAAATCAGTTTAGTTCAATTTTAAACAGATTCCTTGGTATTTTACTTTATTGAGAATATCTTCCTAAAATTTATTAAGCATCAATCTTGGTGTGTTTCCAGTGCAGTATATAATATGGGAACTCTTCATTCTAAATTCCGCTATTATGTACAATTATAATGTATCAATAAGAAATAACAAAAAACCCTGAATTTTGGGATTAGTATGGAGAAAAGTTAGTTTTGGAATCACTAAAGTTAGATAGAAGCCTATTATGTGAAAGTCCGGGTGGATCAAATGCTTGCTACTCTTGTTTTGTTGAAAGGTGGGACATTTTTAATATCAAATAGGACTTTTGATGTTTTTCTTTTGAAGAAATGAAATTGCTGTTATTGGGATCTTATAAAAACCTTCAAACATAATTACAAGAATGATAAGATTGTCAATAATAAAAAATAAAAATGATATTGAAATGGAGCACTAATGATCAAAAATGAGGCAGAGACAGAAAAACTATGATGAAAATCACTTATCATGGACTGGTTTGTTCAGTTGTTAATTGTATTTGTCCCCCACCCCTTGTTAGGTATTTTATCAGTTTTGGGCAATGTTATGAAATAATTTCTATGGATAGAAGATATATATACATCCGGGCTGGGAATGTGGCTCAAGCGGTAGCGCGCTTGCCTGGCATGCGTGAGGCCCGGGTTCGATTCTCAGCACCACATACCAACAAAGATGTTGTGTCCGCCAATAACTAAAAAAAATAAATAAATATTTTTTAAAAAAAGAAGATATATATACATCCTACATAACTCCTGTGTCATGTAAATGCCATAAATTAGGTAACTTTAGTTTTAGATTTTCCTTTCTTCTACTTTTCTCCCTTATGTCCTCTCCTTTCTAGTCCCATTCTTTCTGCATTAAAGCAGACCCTTCTCATCTGGTTCTGGGACTTTTCCAATAGCCTGTTTTTTGAGAAGGACCACATTGTTTGTGATGTGGCAGGCTTCCAGAAGTCTTAAGCCCCAGGAGAATCATTCATAGTCTCTGACAACTGTGAATCCTTTTGGCATAAATGTATATATTTTTTATCTGCTAATTATAGAGAGTCCGAATGTCCTCTCTATTGACCTTTGTAATTTTCTTTTGAATTGATGTCCTTTGTATTATAGATGTCACATTTCTCAAAGGCACTTTATTTATGTGTAGTCAACTTTATCCTTCAGATCTGAAGGATAGAGCCCTAAACGTTATAAATATTGTAAAATGTAATGCTTCAGAATAACCTGAATTGGAAAGGGAAGGTACTAGGGAATGGGAATAATCAAATTTTGTTATGCGTGTATGAATATGACATGATAAATTCCRCTATTATGTATAATTATAATGTATCAATAAGAAATAACAAAAAAACCTTAATTTTGGGATTAGTATGGAGATACTAATAGTATGTTGTTATTAGTATTAGTTTTGGAATCACTAAAGTTAGATAGAAGCCTATTATGTGAGAGTCCAGGTAGATCAAATACTTGCTACTCTAGGATCAGAGAAGGATCAAAAATTGTAGTTCATGTTGTTCTTACAATTAAGCTTCAGAAGTGTTTCAGAATAGGGCAGTGTCTGAAGACTGCTTTTGTGAGCAAATAGTACCAGTTGTTGAGGTATTATGGAGAGAGCACTCAGACTGTCCCAAACTAGTTAGTGGGGTCAAGGGAAAGATGAAATGAAGAGCGATTGTTTTTGTGTTGCACTTGAGGCATGACAACTTGTTCCACTTTGGAGCTGTTATCAAGATAGGACTTGTCTAGACTTCTAACGAAATTGGCTTTAGTAGACACATCATGTCAGAGGACTTTTGATTGCTCAAGTGAATGTTAAACATTCTTTTTAACTTTTTGGATCTTTGATGTATTGAATTTCTGATACCCTTCCCATAACACATGATCCTGTCCTGACTGATCAATAGTTGTAAGGAATTTACTCTTGTACTCTATATACCTATTGGCTTATAATAGCTATACTTGTGATTCTTTTTTTTTGATGTATTTTTTTTTATTAGTTACACATGACAGTACAATGATCTTGACAATTCACACATTTGAATCAAATGGGGTATAATTTCTCATTTTTCTGATTGTACAGGTTGCAGAATCACATTGGTCATACAGTCACCTATATACATACAGCCATAATAATGTCTATTTTATTCTGCTGCCCTTCCTACCCACCCTTCCCCTCCCTTCTCCCCTCCCATTACATCTCTCTACCCAATCTAATGTGACACACTTCTTTTTTTTTTTCTCCTCACAACATCATATGTGTATTCTGTATAACGTTGAGGGTCTCCTTCCATCTTCCGTTCAATTCCCCTTCTCCTTCCTTTTCCCTCCCATGTCTCTTCCCTATCTAGAGGTAATCTTATTCTCATGTTCTTCCTCCCTATCCCATTTTGAATCACCCCCCTTATATCAGAGAAGATGTTTTTTAGGGATTGGCTTACTTTACTTAGCATAATCTTCTCTAATGCCATCCATTTCCCTGCAACTTGTGATTCTTAACAGTGCTAAGAAAATCTGTATTGTATAGTGTTTATGTTATTTAGCAATTAAGTGCTGTTTGTTTTATTTAATTTATTTATTTTGATTGTATTTTACATAGTAAAGATTTTGTTCTTTCCCTTCAGACTTTTAAAATTTTTGTTGTTATTGTTGATGGACCTTTATTTTATTTATTTTTTATATGATGCCTAGAATCAAACCCAGTGCCTCACGCATGCTAGGCAAGTACTCTACCACTGAGCTACAGCTCTGCCCTCCCTTTAAACTTTAACAAATGGTGCACTTTAATGTTGTTTTGTTTTTTTCCTCACTCAAATGATTTATTTAAAAACATGTAATCCTTCACGAATTATATGTCATCCTTGCATAGGGGCCATGCTAATCTTTTCTGATCATTACAATTTTAGTATCTGTGCTGCTGAAGCAAGTACCATTTTAATGTTTCTCAAAATGGAGGCCTTTTCTTTTAAAATATTTTATCTTTGTATTTTATTCATGGCAAATGTGATTATTTCATCATTGCAATAGCAAATTTTTATTGTAAAATTCATAATATTTTGTTTATAAACTCTATTTTCTTGGCACAGTACATAAAACAACAGTAAATTTGATACAATGGTTCTCTAAGCCACACCAAAATTTAACTGTGACTCTGAATATTCTCAGATACTTTCATCTTGTTGATGTATTAATATTTCTAAGTCCATAAACATCAATTAGCTTACCAAATTAAMGTTAACAAATGAGTCAGCCATGTAATTTGAGTTAGCAGGGCCATGAAGGAAGTGTTTTTATTTGTGTGTAGGTACTCTTATCTCCATGTCTTCAGGTGGTGGATGGAAGTTTGTATATGTAATAAAAGGTGATATTATAGTACATTTTGTGAAATACTAAATGCACTTACATTCTTGCTTGGGACTGGGCCACTTGCTTAGAGGTCTCTGGGAGTGGCAAAAGTGCATTTTATTGTTTTTCTTTATTTGAGATAACCTTTTAATTAGCAGAATATGATGTAGAGTTACTTGTCTTTTTTTAAAAATATCTTTATTTTATTCTTATGTGGTGCTGAGAATCGAACCCAGTGCCTCATGCATGCAATGCTACCACTTGAGCCACATCCTTAGCCCCACGTGTCTTTTTTTAAAAAACAAAAAATATTTTGACAAATCTGCAAAATGAACATTAGAGACAGTTCTAGAATAAATGATACTAGATTTAAATTGTGAGGTTGGTCTGTACAAAAATATAAAATAAATACTAATCAGTTGTCTAAGCAAAATCCAGGAAGGATTTGTGTTAATTTGACAAGTGGGTTTAAAATTCTTTAGCCACTATTTTTTAGAAACAAGCTTTGTTCATACATCCTTTCTCTAATTTGCTTCACTTTTGATCTTTGATAAACCAGCTGCAATTTTGTTTCATTAACAAACTTTAACTGGTTAACAGATGTTTGTTTTGGCTTGATTGTGTCCTTTCTATTAGAAACAGCATAGGCATACATAGAAACCATGCTGGGCCTTTTCCTGTCTGTAGCTTGACAGGCAGTTCAGAAGAGCAACTTAATTTTATTTACAAAGTTCAATTTTTGTTTCTCGGTATTATTGTTGTAGGTATACAAATATGTCAGCTCTTGTCACCCTCATCAAGGGGGTCTTTTGCTGTTAATCCTCCCCCCTGTTGGTCCGGTACACTCCCTTCACCTACTTAAAAAAATTTTTTTTTTATTTTTAGCATCACAAAATCTTAGCATGCTGCTGGGAAAGGTATTGCAGGAAAGATAATTGAGGTATCAGTGACTCTTCCACAGTTCAAGGGAAGGAATGGGACTAGCCTGGTGAATTTTAGATAATTTCTTCCATCTTCTTTGATGTCAGTAAGCTGCCATATGGAGAGCAGTGAGGCCTACAGGAAGGAGGTGAGCCTTGGTCTGGGCTGCCTGTGATGTTCAGAGTGGTGTGGGCTGGGAGCCAGAGGCAGCACTTGATGGTTTCTGTAGTATTTTCTGATGTGACCAGTCCTGCTTTTTGTCTGTGGTTTCTGACATGCTTGTGACCCTTTCTGATCATAAATAGGAATGATGAAACAGCATAAAAGAAACAGTAGTAAGAGGAGACAAGAATGTAAAACTAAAATCCAGTAATAAGGACATCAAAAGTTGATTTCTATTTGATACTTGATCTGCTTCCAAAGCTAGCATTTTAACATATATATGATTTCTGTCTTGCAACAACACCCTATTCTAACTATTGAGTCTTGAATTGTGAGTAAAACTGCAGAAAATAAGACCTGCTGGTGGAAGAATGTGGTGTGTTTGAAGAACATCAGCTGTTTTGTTAACTCCTGGCAGTATGTTACCTGGGAAAAGAAGGCAGTGGAGGAAAGGGCTGGGTTTGTAGCTCAGTGGTACAGCACTTGCCTAGATGTGTGAGGTACTGGGCTCGATTCTCAGCACTGCATATAAATAAATGAATAAAATAAAGGTTCATCAACATCAAAAAAGAATTTAAAAAAAGACAGTGGAGGGAGCTAGGATGATCTTTCTCCCTTAACTTTGCAATTCATAAAATTGTAATGTTTCAGGAAAGTTGAAGGAGTGGTAGTATAATAAACACTGTATTTCTTTCATCTAAATTCACCAATTATTAACATTTTGCAATAGTTATTCTCTCTTTTCCTGGGTGTATATGTGTGTGTGTTTGTATATATACACACACTTAGAATGCATCTATTTATAATTTTTGGCTGAACTATTGAAAAATAAATGGCAGGCATTATGATATATTATCCCTAGATATTTAATTAGATATCAAAACATCCTCCAATATATTAAAGTACTTTATCTTATGCAAAAAATTTAGCAGTGAAATGAGTATTATTCTAATAGCCCATATTTTCTTATATGAACCCAAAATATCACAACTTTTTTTTTTTTAAAGAGAGAGTGAGAGAGGAGAGAGAGAGAGAGAATTTTTAATATTTATTTTTTAGTTCTCTGCAGACACAATATCTTTGTTGGTATGTGGTGCTGAGGATCGAACCCAGGCTGCACGCATGCCAGGCGAGCGCGCTACCGCTTGAGCCACGTCCCCAGCCCAACAACTTTTGACTTTTGGTCCAGCATTGGTCGGTCTTCCTTCCTTCCTTCCTTCCTTCCTTCCTTCCTTCCTTCCTTCCTTCCTTCCTTCCTTCCTTCCTTCCTTCCTTCCTTCCTTCCGTTGCTGGGGATCAAACTCGATTAGGTCTCCTTTATTTTGTTTTATTTTATTTTATTGTATTCTGGTACCAGGGATTGAACCTAGGAGCACTTAATTAACCCTTGAGCCACATCTCCTAGCTCGTTTTTATTTTTTTATTTTGAGACATGGTATCACCAAGTTGCTTAGGGGCTTGTCAAGTTGCTGAGGCTGACCTTGAACTTGTGATCTTCCTGCTTCAGTGTCCCGAGCCTCTGGGATACAGGCATGTGCCACCACACCTGGCTTATGGCTCCTTTAATAGAGAACAGTTTTCCCTCCTTTGTGCTTTCAAGACATTACCTTTTTTGAAGGGGGGCAGGGTACTGGGGATTGAATTTAGGGACACATGACCACTAAGGCACATCCCATCCCTATTTTTTGTATTTTATTTAGAGACAGGGTCTCACTGAGTTGTTTAGTATCTCGCTTTTTGTTGAGGCTGGCTTTGAACTTGTGATCCTCTTGCTTCAGCTTCCTGAGCCTCTGGAATTACAGGCGTGTGCCATCGCACCTGGCAAGACATTACCATTACTTGTAGGATGTCCAACAGTTAGATATTTGTTTGATTGTATCCTCAAGATTAGATCCAAGTCAAACATTTTTGGCAAGGACAGTATATATGTGATCTTGTGTATTTCATTTTGGGTCATATCAGGAGATAAACAATTCCAGGTTTGTCATTAAAAATGGTGTTTATTTAATCAGTTGGCTAAAGTGGCATCTGTCTGACCTATCTTTATAAAAACACCCTTTTCATCTTGTAATTAATAATTAGTACAGACTTAAGACCATATGAATAACTTTTCACTCAGTGTGCATTAATTTTCTGTTGCCCCTGTAACAAATCACACTGACTTGGTGGTTTAAAACAGTCGCACATGCCTCAGCCTCAGCAAAAGTGAGGCGCTAAGCAACTCAGTGAGACCCCGTCTCTAAATAAAATACAAAATAGGGCTGGAGATTGTGGCTTAGTGGTTGAGTGCCCCTGAGTTCATTCCCAAAGGAAAACAACAACCGCACAYGCTCCTGTTGGCATCCCTGTGACTTAGGAGGCTGAGACAGGAGGATTGCAACTGATCAAGGCTCTGTTACATAGAAATAAAAACCAAAAAGGACTGGGGCCCTGAATCAGTGGTAAAGTACCCTAGGTTCAATCCTTAGTACCAAAAACCAAACCAAAACAACAACAAAAACCAACATGCATGTTTTAGTTCTGTTGGTAATACAGAAAATGATTCTCATTGGGTTAAAAATCAAGGCGATGGTAGGCTCGTATTCTTTTCTGGAAACTTTAGGAGAATCGTATCTTTGGTTTTCACACTTCTAGAGCTGCCCACATTCTTTGACTCCTGGTCCCCTTTCTCTGTCTTCAAGGCCAGCAGTATTTCCTCTTTGATCATTCCTTTATAGGTCACAGTTCCCTCTGATGTCCATCTGTGGTCAATTTAATCACAGACTGCTGTGATTAAATTGGGCTCACCTGGTTAATTCAGAGTACACTTTCTAGCTTGCAGTCCTTAATTTAATCAAGCCTGCTAGGTTATTTTGCCACGTAAGATAACATACAAGTTCCAAGCATTAGGAAGTAGATGTTTTCTGGAGGTTATTATTTCACCTGCCACACAGTGGTTTTACCAGCCTTACCTAAGTCAAATAATGCTCTGAGAATTATAAATCTTTGAAGATTTTCAGGCTGTGGTGTACCCGTAGTCTAAGTCTACCTAAAAGGAACAAATCAACAGCTTATTGTAGTGATGCTGGCCGAAGGCTGGTGTTGAGATGCTTGGATTCCATGTCTGATGGCACAATGCTGAATCATTTCTGGGACTGAAGCAGGGGGTTGCCTTCTGTCTGTACTTCCTGACCCTTTACTTACAGCTGAAGAATGGATTTGCCATTAACAGCTTCAAAGTTTTTAACAGTAGGAATTTGGATATTCAAAATATTTTTTGAAAAGTTTATTTAACGTTGTAGAGACGGTCTTTCACTTAAATGCCCAGAGTACCTGGCGGGGTCATCACAATAATTTAATAAGATAGGTTCATTAGTGACATTTTAAAGACTAACATCTGAAGAATTTCATTTGTTATTTAAATTATAAATCCTCAACTAGAGAATTCCAAATAGGCTGAAAAAGAAACTGATTTTTAAAAAAATGGACAGGAGGATGTAAATTATATTTTTTTACTTCACAG